CTTTCCCTACGGCTTCGAGAAAGCTTAGCTGTAGCCATCCTCTGCAAACAGATTGGGCCAACTCTTTGGGGTTAAAGCGACTATCACCTCTTCTTTGCAGGAGCTGAAGCAAAGCATATTCCAGTATGCTTAAGCTGTGTGGACTTCAATTTCTGCTCATGATTCACTTGGTGAGTTATAGCTTTTCCTTCTTTTATCTGGGAGCAAATGGCAAAGGTTGCCTGTGAGCCTCTGAGCTCAAACCCATGGCGTGTCCCAGGCTGGCAGCGCGTGCCCACAGAGCGGTGGTAACTCTGGGTGTGGGAGCGCGGCCCCAACATGTGATGACTCTATGGCCAAAAGTTAGTAAGGCATGTCAATCATTATGAAAAAAAACTTTAAAAAGCCTAAAAGACACCAATTTACTTTCTTTTTGCCTCTAGTACTTCCTCCTTAGTTACTGTTTTTTCCATCAAGTGGATTTCATAGATTCATAGAATGTGTTGGGCTGGAAGGGACCTTTAAAGGCCATCTAGTCCCCAGCAATAAGCAGGGACATTTCATGCCAGAAAAGATTTTAAAATACTGCAACAAATCACCAAACAGTGAAGACATCTGTGTTATGTGTTCTGTATTACAACCTATACATGTGTTGACATATTAAATGTATTCTAAGACATATAATGGCACATAGTTTAAACAATGCATATTAATTATTTATCCTCATTATTCAATCTATGTGAATCCCTTTTCAGAAGATTATCTGAAGCCGAAAGGCATAATTATGCGATTTATGGACCTCATCTCTTTAATTCAATAGATTTACTGATGTTTGTAAAGGCTACAGTCGTGGCTTCTACTTTACAATTGGAATTAAGAGAAAAGATTTAAAAAAGTCAATTAAAGTCTATTAAAAATACCTTAGAATATGAAGAACCTGAGGTGTAGGATTGATGTGCAGTGGTGAGCACCTCCTTTTTCTTCTCATTTCGAAAGTTGCCATCCATGGCAGTGCAAGCCCGCCCATGAAGCTACCCCACAGGTATTATAGCCATCTTCAGGTGGGATGCTAGCCAGATACAGGCCAAGGAGAAAACCCTATTTCCCCTTCAGGCCCCTGAGTAGTGATTCATGCTGTAGACATACGTTTGGAAATATTTATGGTCCACATAAAGTAATTGTAATCGACAGGAAGAGATATCTCTTACTTGCTCCACAGCCTGCACTTTGAACCCACTGGGTTTTATAGCGTCGGCCGTTGTTCTTCCACGACAAAGAACATGACCAGGAAAAACGGCTCCACAAAATGACCCTGGGAGAAACCTCCAGGAGCCAGGTTGTGCCCACCAGTGTGACAAGGCAAAAAACACAGTCAGACACAGGGTCCTGCTATCTTGTCCCTGACAGAGCTGAGTAGTCAGCATTTAGCAAAAATAGTAAAAGGTAGCAGCAAAGTACTCTTTGCTGGTATGCATACCTATTATATGTATTTTTTTGATGTTTTCCTACTGTCACTAGTGTTCACTAACATCTCTGTCCCTCCTTCACCAGCTCTCAAAATATCCTAGTTTTTCTGTTTGCAAAAAGGGTCACAAACCCTTGCAGGGGAGGAGGGCAACAACTCTGGCTGTTACTAAGCAGAATCTGGCGTTATTCAAACACCACTTGAGACAAACACAAACAGAGAAGCGCTTTAGGGTAAATTGCACTAACTTAGCTATGTTGTTGTCACAGGCAGCATTAAGTTTTCCCGTGGTAATATGTAGGCTGTGCTTTTCTGTGAGAGGATGAATAGCTGTCCCAGCAGCAATAGGACCAAATCCAGGGGAAAAGTCATGCAGAAGAGAACATGCATTCCCAGAGCCCGACTCCACGGAGTGATGGACAGGGTGGCAATGGCACTCCAAATCCTCAAAGCAAAATAAAGTCATTTTCATTCTGGAAGAAAAGAATTTTTACTTGTGTAGCCAAATGATGGAGCCCTAATTCTGACCTCTGGAGGTCATTGGGGACTAGGGAGAAGGTAGTAATAAAACTCATAAAGAAACTGCCGGATAAAACACCATGTGAAGGCAGTGCCTTAGGAAGAAAACAGAAGTTGAGACAGATTTGCACGGCATTTTTTGCCATGAGGTAGAAGCCAAAGATCAGCAGGATGTGTTTGCTCTGGCTGGGGTTTGCAGTCAGGTGCAACTGATGCAAAGGCACAGGGCTTGAGCAGCCTGCCCAGATGGCTGTGGCATTGAGAGTGGTGGGGTGGGGGACCTGGGGATGTCCACCTTTTTCCCTTAAAAAAAAAAAGTTTGGATTTACTGAAGAAATTACAAGAGGTGCAAGCCCAACTCCTCCCCATCCCCAGGCATAGCACTGGGTCTCCGGACACACTCTTGGCCACAGGACTGTGTGGCTTCTGAATGGTTCTGCTGGGAACACAGAGGTGATCCAGAAATGCTTTTATGGATTTCCTCTCACTCTCAGTCTACATTCAGCTCTTTGGTGCTTCTGTTTGCTTCTGAAGGTAGATCCAATTTCATTTAATTATGTAGCAGTTAGAAAAGAGCAGGGCTGAAATGTTTGTTTTAAAATTAAGTAATAACTGCTTTAAAAATGGATGTGTACTAAAGAACCTGGAGATGTTCAGACTAGTGGGAACCAGTAAGAGTCTCCTTTGTTATACTACAGCATGTGAATTTACAGGAAGCTCAGTGATGGAGAGCTGCTGTTCATGCGTGGTGACAGCACACATCCTTCAGCTGCTTTCCTCCATCCCTTTCTCTCACAGGCTATGTGCCAGGATTTAGGTCACCTGCATGTCACTGGGCCTCTGAAGGATATGAATTTTTCTATTCCCGAAGGAGCAGGAGTGCGCTTAATTTACCAGGTAATCAAGTGTCTCTTGGTCAAAAACCCCATAGTCTGCACACACTGACTTCTCGGACAGTGTTGTCATCTGTGCTGGTGGGAAGAGCAGTCTCCCAAGAGGATCTGAAATTAACTTTGACTTCCTTTATCTGGGAATTCAAGAGTCTACATGCAAAAAAGGAGAAGGAGACAACCCCTTCTCTCAAATGCATTTTAACATTCTAAAACAGGGATTAATAAAAACAGCATTCCTAGAGAATGGATTTCCATGTAACTTGTGTCATCATTTTCCTTCATCTCTGAAGTTTTCTTCCTAAAACCATAACCACAGAAGGGCAGATCCCGCTCCCAGGCAAATGGAGGATGTGTGTCATTTTTTTCCATTCCCTTGCTCAGACAAAGTCCTGTCCTAAGCAGACGTTTGCTTTGGAAAGAAACCACAGTTGGGATTTCCTGCAGCATTCAGGAAATAATGTGAAAACTCTGCTGAGCATCAGAAAAGAGCAGATTTGTTTGAGCAGACTCTTGGAATACCATTCCCCCAGCCAAGCACGCTGTTGGCAACAGATTTTAAAAGACACAAAAGCATTAAATGATCTTGATTATGGTGAAAATGCTGAAAAAAAGGATGATTTTCCTTCTGATTTTTCCCTGTTCCAGTTCACATCTGAGCCACCTGCTGTGAGTTTCAGAGCAACCGGTGAAAAAGATGGAATAATTGAAGTCGCACCGAGAACGGGAATTCTGTATCTCAATGGGTCTCTGGATTGGGAGACCAAAACATTTCACAGGCTGCAGGTAAAAGCTTAATGAAAAATAGGAAGGGAGGGTTATTCATAGTCATCCTTTTCTGGTAAACCTGAAATTAATGGAAAATAGTTGAAATTTCATATTCTTTCTTTTCCATATGTTTATATGCACCTTTTTCAATTTTACTATTGAGCTTTGCTGAAAGATGCATGGTTTTATAGTTCTGAAAGGCTTTACACAAAAAAAATGCTCCTTAGGACAGGAAGATTATGTTGAGAAAACAAAAATTACCCAGATGCCAACATCAGTCCTTTAATTCTCCTAATATGAGGAGGACACTTTACCGAAAGTGAAATCTGGCCTCAGGAAGGAGATTTGCTTGTTATCCCTTGAGAGTGATAGGGTGAATTGCACAGCTGAAATGTGAACATAAACTACTGTAATCTACTTAGGAAGATTGTAATCTATTTAGTGAAAAATGGTGTGAGTAAATGACATTTGGACACAGAGGCACAGGTCTAAATTCTGTTAGATAACAGCAGAATGCTGTCTGGCAGATGTCAGCAGCAATTAGAGGCAGGAGCATTGTGTGCTTGTCCTGCTATTATACTCTTTTCATAAGGACCTCGTTGTAAACACTGTAGGGTATGGAACAGTGGATAGGAGATCTGTTGGTCTCAGTATAGCCCTGTCCTCTTATTCTGTGTCAAAAATGATATTGTCTTTTTCTAAGGCACCAGCAACTGAAAAGGAGATGTCATGTTCTCAGCTCCAAAACACCTTTGGATTGGAATTCGAGGACAAATTTCTAGAAGTTATTAACCCTAAACATGGGAATCCTTTACAGACCCAAAAAAATCATGACAGAACTGAAAACTGGTACTTGGTTAGGCTTAAATAATAATTTTTTGTTCTGACAGACTTAATATATACTTGGTGCTTTAAAATAAAAGAAGGCTAAAAAATAAGAATTCATATAATCTGGAAGAAAAATGCAATCAGAACTAAGAATTAAGTTTTCTTTGTGAACCCTTAGATCAGTCTGGCTGATATTTACAATAGCACACTTGAGTTCACTGTATCATGTTGGGGTTTCTCCTTGTTCCGTAGAAAATATTTCTGTTTAAAGAAAAACATGAAGTCTAAGCTGTGCAAGAACACAAGCAGTTTGTTGAGCCTGGAAGTGAGAAATTGCCCTCTGAAAAGTGTCATCAGAAGGAGGAGTGGGTTATTTTTTTTGTTGGCATTCTATACTGTGGTGAATTACTGTCAGAGAGTTGCCATGGTAAATGTGTCCTTGTAGATGGAGCCATACAGTGATGGCTCTCATCAGATCTGTGTCACAGTAAGAATGACTTGGCATTTGACATCCTGATGTTCATTTATGTCTTTTAACACAAAAATATTTCTTTGTTGTTTCTCCTTTTTCCAAATCAAGGTGGAAAGTTTGGATGAAAAGGGAAACGTAGTGAAAGGTCCATATGATGTTACAATATATGTGGAGGATATCAATGACAACCCACCAATATTTGACCAAAGAAAATACACTGGAGTAGTGAGGCAGAACTCCCGTGCAGGTAATCATAATAATAACTGAATATTGCAGTTAATAGGAAGCTAGGTAGATTAGTTAAACGGAAAGATGAAGCAGGTCCTATATTTCAACAACCTGAAAAAAGGTTACAAAATAAGGATGCAAGCATGTATAATATAATGAAAAAACAAAGAATTGATCACAATGTGGTGTAAAGGGATGAATGTAAATCAGAAATATTTCATTGGACTTATTGCTTTGCAAGTATCATGTAACAGGCAAGCATAGTTTCTCTCTCCATTGCACTGAAAAGAACTCTTATTCTAGAAGGGCTTTGAAGTTCAAAGGTTGCCAAAGCCTATACAGAAATAGAATGCTAAGAATATTTGTCTTTGCACATCAGTGAAATAAAATACTGGTGTAGATATAGGGTATGTGTTTACTGTGACTGATGCTACTCTGAACATGGGCTGAACCTTAGTATTTAGAAGTGAGTCCTAGATCATGGATTGCAGTAATCCAATCCAGAAATCATGAAAATATTGAAGAGCAGTTTGAGACCCACATCTTGGAAATTAAACAAATGACTCAGCCAGCTGTTATTGCTGTGACTATGGTCTTAGGAAAAAACTTTCATTACAGAGCATGCATACAAAGCTCCAGAAGAAACATTCTGCAACATTTTGCTCTATTCTTCAACTGCATGCAAGTTAAAAAAGATTTTGGATGTTGCATTGGTCATCAAAAAGCTAAAATTCACTTATGTTACCATGTATTTCTATATTTTTTTCACTGTGTGATTTTTCCTTTAATTATAACTGTGTCACAGCTGTAGAGCATTTTTCTCAAGGTGCTTTGGATTCAACTGAATTGTATGAGGACTGCAAAGTAGTCTTAAAGAGAAATACCAATGAATTACATTCTAGGTGCATGCACTCTTGGCTGGTAGATAGCTCTCTGATCACCTTCATCAACTGGTTTTCACACCTATTATGATTCTGTTAGGCAGAGGTGGTGGAAGTGGGACCTGTGGGATGGTACACAGGTAATGTAACCTCTATATACAAGCATGACTTAACATTATGAAACAGATCACCATAAGCTGCCTTCCTGGCTTGAGAGTTCTGCTTGAATGGACTATGTGTTGACAATTTGGTCTCCTCTTAACACTGTTTCTTCTCTAATCTGAACAGGCAAGCCCTTCATGAAGGTCCATGCTACTGACCGTGATGATCCTACGACTCCCCATGCAAAGATAATGTACAGCATTCTTCATCATTTTCCCAACCCTTATCCAGAAATGCTTTTCCAGATTGATAGTAGAACTGGAGAAATCTCACCAAGCAGGACAGGTATGCAAAAAGATTCTTATTTTATAGAATCATAGAATAGCTCAGGCTAGAAGGGACATTAGAGGTCATCTAATCCAACCTCTCTGCCATGGACAGAGATGCCTTTAACTAGACCACACTGCTCAAGGCCTCATGCAACCTGGCCTTGAACATCTCCAGGGAAGGGGCAGCCACAATCTCCCTGGGCAATCTATTCCAGAGTCTCACCACCCTTGACTGAAGAATTTCTTCCTAACATCCAAACTAAACCCATTCTCCTTCAATTTAAATCCATTTCCCCTTGTCCTGTCACTGGACACTCTTGTAAAAAGCCCTTCCCCAGCATTCCTGTAGGTTCCTTTCAGGTACTGGAAGGCAGCTATTAGGTCCCCCCAGGGTTTTTTCTTCTCCAGGCTGAACAATACCAGCTCCCGCAGCCTATTCTTGTACCAGAGGTTCTCCAGCCCCTGGATCATCTTTATGGCCCTCCTCTGGACCCATTCCAGCACATACATGTCCCTCTTATGGTGGGGACACCAGAACTGGACACAGTATTCGAGGTGGGGTCTCACAAGAGCAGAGTAAAAGGGGAGAATCACCTCTCTTGACCTGCTGGCCACGCTCTTCTTGATGTGTCCCAAGATACAGTTGGCCTTCTGGGCTGCATGAGTGCATTGCTGGCTCATGTTGAGCTTCTCATCTATCAACACCCCTAAATCCTTCTCTTCAGGGCTACTCTCAGCCCACTCTGTGCCCAGTTTGTATTTGTGCCTGAGATTGGCCCAGCTCAGGTGCAGGACCTTGCATTTTGACTTGTTGAACCTCAAGCAGTTTGCATTTTCCTGTTTCTGAAGCCTTTCAAGGTCCCTCTGGATGGCATCCGTTCTCTCAAGTGAGTTCACTGCATCACACAGTTTGGTATCATCAGCAAACTTGCTGAGGGTGCACTCGGTGCTGTTGTCCATGTCGCTTACACAAATGTTGAAGAGCTCTGGAGGAACTCCACTTGTCACTGGTCTCCACGTGGATATTGAGCTGTTGACCACAACTGTCTGAGCGTGACCTTCTAGCCAGTTCCTTATCCAGCGAGTGTTCCATACATCAATTCCATGTCTCTACATCTTAGAGATAAGCATGTCATGTGGGACAGTGTAAAATGCCTAGCGCAAATTTTGCCATAAAGCAAGCATGAGTTTCTGGGTGCACATAGGAACAAGACAAAACCACAGCTCTGATGTTAGTGGTCAGTAGGATGTACTCCACTGAGGCCCTGGTTTTAGGGAACCTTGTTTGTGTCCCTCCAAATTCAAGACAGAAATGGAGATTGAGATCTAAAAGTACATTGAGAAGAGAGGTAGATCCTCTGGCCCTCCGGATTACACTGAGTAGTATCTCGGATCAATTCTCTTCCTTGAAATCTAGAAACCCTAGTTACATAAAAAATGCAGGGAAAACTCAGCTAGCCACATGATCCCAACTAAACTACAATGACTTTGGAACCCCATGTCTTCTGCTGGGCCAAACAAATACCTAACTGGAGTGAGGGTTGTTCAGTGATGCATCTGCACAACACAAGACCACAGCACAGAGGTCTCATATGATTACACCCACATGATGCTGGTCTGCATGGTTCAGAGAAATCAGAGGTTTCTGAGGTACCAGAACAGAGGCCTACCATTCATAGAGTGAGTCTGGAGCAGATGAAGAAGCATAGTGCGTGTAGGATGTAATGGACAGGAAAACCATTTCCAAAGTCCCTGCTTCATTTCACTTGGCTTTTTGCTCTGTCTCTAGGCTCAATTAACTTAGATCCTCAAAAGCAGGACACCTTCACGCTCGTCGTCACTGCGAGGGACATGGCAGGGATGACAACAAATGCTTTCACCAGCAGTGTCGATGTGAACATCACTGTGAAAGAGAGCCTGTGGAAGGCTCCCCCCACCATCCACATCCAAGAAAACTCAACCCAGGTCCACCCTGTCAACATAAGCCAGGTAGGGCCCTTGGCCATGCACCTCGCACCTCTCCTTGGTCCCACAGTTATTTTGTACTAGCTAACTGTGAAAGTGTCCCCCCTTTGTTCAACACGAGGTTCTTCAGGACTTTGACACCTACCTTTTTTTTTTTTGTATAGTATCCTTTGGAAATTATCTTTAGTGCAGGTCTCATTAACTTACTGTTAATATGAAAGTTAATGGTTGGAGATCTAGTCAATATAAACATTAGAGTGACTGGACTTTGCCCTTCAGTTTGGAGAGACTGTTAGCACCACCTGCCTATGCAAATATCCCATAGATAGAGGAAACATTTTGGAGCATTTTATTACAGTGTAACAGTAGGAATAAAAAAAGTGCTTTACAGGATTACTTGGCACACTATGAAAAATAAAGCTCTTGAGACATCTCAAGGGAGCTCCCAGATGACATGTGGCAGCTGGGTACCTCTATGGAGGTGCTGCTCTTCTCTCTCAATGGGTTTCTCTGAGCACTTTCAGCCTTGTTTTAACACCATGGGCCTTCCAGGCTTTGGACAAACCAAGAGCTAGTTTGTTGACAGTTATTTTGAGGTTAGTTTCTTCCATCCACAGAAGAGCCTGGGAGGAGCTATTCCTACTGGCCTCAGTTATAGCCTAAGAAAGTATGGAGTGAAAACAGGTGGAACTAAAACTAACATGAAATGGTGCTCCCATTCTGAGGTCACTTGTATATAAATTTCATGTGGCAGTCAATGATATGTTGATTCTGCCTAGGGAGAGAAAACAAAATGCAGTTGCTGCTATACAGTTTAAAACAGAAACAGTAATACTGACTCCTTCACTAATTTGGGAGTCTGTTTACTGCCTTTAAATCCTAAGCACCTCACTAAAGATCTTCCACCACAGACTTTGATGTATGTAAAAAACATTCACACACACACATGCAGATAGGTACTTGATATTTGTTTTGTTGTTCCACATCTCTGAATTAAACAAAAAAACAGGCAGAAATAGACAGTGTAAGGAGATGGAATAAATGAGTATCAAGACATTTGAATACATAGAATGCTTTCTTCTCGTGTATCACCATTTAGCTCTCATAACACTGACACAAAAAGCCAGGTGTCATAGCCCATCTGGACAGCCAGAGAAACTGAGGTAAAAAGTCTTCACCACAGCAATTCAGAGAGAAGAGGTGGATTATCAGTCTGAGTGTCTGCAGCTCATCTCAAGAGCCTACCAAACTGTTTATTTTCTGGTTTACGAAGCTAACAGCCATGCAGTTTGTGGTTCAGAAACAGTCACTGTTAAATCTCGGTCTACACTTCTGACTTCCTACCCTGACTTATTTTTTATGTTATTAGGTGCACTCAAACGACCCAGATGTAATTTTTGACATTATTGTTAGAGAAAATTTGTCCAGGTTCCCATTTTCCATCGATCAGAACGGAGTTATTTATGTGACTGAACCATTGGACAGGGAAGAGAAGGATACTGTAAGTAAACACATAAAATCTCACTGATGGGAGAGGCCATAGCAAGAAGCTGATTATTGGTGTGCGAGTCTAAGAGAAAGCCCACTAGAAAGGACAGAGGGGATAAAAAGTAAGAAAAGCTTTGTTTGTTGTCTTTTCTGTTCAGGAATGACTTGACAGATATGAAAGCACATGCATCTACTGCACTGTAAGCAGCCTTTAGTGTGGTACCCTACAACATTTCTCCATGGGTCTGGCAGTAGCAATCACTGCCCAAAGCATATGTATAACATGCATTATAGACCAAGGTGCATGACCAAGAAGCAAGCAGCGGCATTTTGGAGAGCAGGACATCTGGATGTTTCAGATTTACTCCAGATGCCAGGGGCCTCAGGGATCTCTCCACAGCAGAAATGAGTTTAACTTGTAGTTGCATGTGTAAAGTTTCCCTGCAGTTCCACATAGCGGGTCTTTTAGACAGAAAACCCTCTGTCCCCTTTTGCTCTTGGAGGGAATGTGGGCACAGGGTAGGCCAGGAATCAGGTACGCTGAAGGAATCCTATATCTGTATATGACAGATGAGTTTACAAAGTGACAAAAATGAGATAAATGAATTTTTGTGAGAGTAGTGTGGTGCAGTATTCAGGACTTTTTAGTTATGTGGAGAACTTAGACCACAGGCACTAAAGGGTGATGGAAGACTTCTAAATTAAAGAGAGTGAAAAAATACTGAACGGACACATGAGAGGATATTTCATTTGCATGGAATGCTCCCATGCTCACATATTTAAATGCAAAGTATTGTCACAATGGACATTCAACACATCTAAGCTCAATATTCTTATTGCAGTACGAATTCTTTGCGATCACAAAAGATGATGTGGGAGAACTGGTGGACAAGCCTCTCCGCATTAATGTTATTGTGGAAGACATTAATGACAATCCCCCTGTGTGCCAGCAGCCCCTCACCATAATGGAAGTTCAGGAAAATGAAAATGCAGGTAAGAAAACAGCTTCTTCTCATTTATACCTGTCATTCTAGTCCTGTTATTGTTTCCAGCTGCATGCAAATAAAGCTAGAAATTCTGATCCCAGAAAGCAAAATGGAGCTCTCCTTGAGAAATGCTTTACTGTGCAAATAGCCCTGTTGTTTTCACTTCGATAGTTCATGCAGAAAGGATTTCAATACCTGAGAAAGATAGACCCAAGACCCTTATTTAAAAAATTCCATTCTACTTAAAATATTTTAAAATATTTTCACATGACCACAGTTTTGGACAATTGCTTAGAACAGAAAAAGGAAAACACTCCTTTCATTAGTAATATGAAAAATACTGCTCTAAAAGTGGCATGAGCCCATTTTCTGTCATCCAGATATTCCTCCAGTGTAATAGCTTTGATTGCAATGGACCATTAATGAAATCTGTCCCTAAGTCTTCACATCTATTATTTGGTTTCAGGGCTGAAGTGTCTGTTGTTAGAGTTACTTCTTCTTCTGATCAAAGTACATAGCCCAATCCTCTTTGGAATTCCCTGAACAGTTGGTTGGGACGCAGAAGGAAAAGCTCCCCAAAATCAAATCATTCTGTCCATTGCAGTGTTTTCAATGGAGCTGTGTTTTTATTGTCCCTTTGCTCTTTGTGTTAGTATTACTATTGTCTGTGTGTACCTGTGTGGAGAAATAGGAGCAGTCCATTCTCTGACTGACTTAATTTTCTCCTGTGCCGCAGGCAGCAATATTGGCACCGTGTTAGCTACGGACATGGACGAGGAGGGCACCCTTAACTCTCGTCTGCAGTTTAAAATTGAAAGTCAGGTTCCTGCTGTTCCTGAAAGCAATATGTTCTTTATTCAGCAAGACACTGGGGATTTGCAGTTAATACAGGGTTCGTTAAACAAGCGCATTGCATCCAACTATTCCTTGGCGGTGCTGGTTACAGATGCAGGTATGTAACGCCCGCTGCTACACACGGGAATAATTTTGATTACATTGGTATCCCTTGTGCTCAGTGTGCAAGAGATGAGAGGAGACCTGGAGGGCTCACTGGACAGGCAGCAGCACAGGAGCTGGTTTGCTCTGGAATGGTACTGCCTTGTTCTTGAGATGCAGAAAGGTTAAGCATGATTCATAATGCAAGTATGGAAGGAAACTAGCTCTAGGGCAGAGTGTGGATAAATTGAGAAGCTTGTTAACAAATACTCCAGTAAGAGATTTCCTTCCACAGGGATAAAAAGAATGAAGAGATCATGATTGTGATGTTCCCCTGACATCTTTCAAAGGGACTCACTCAAAGAAGTAAAGAAATTAAACACAGATGCCCAGAGTTCAGATAATGTATTGTAAAAGATTAAGAGCTGAAATTAGTCTTCAAAAAGAAGCTTGTCCATTAGTAAGTTACCTGGAAGCCTGTGGTGGATGGAAAGGAAGTCAAACTCAACACTAAATCTTAAAGCTGGAGCCCTTATAATCAGGCAAAACTTGTGGATGGAGAAACTGGCACGTAAAGAAAGCGATGTGACATGTCTGTAAGTGAAACAGCATCACTTAGGCAGTTGATATGAAAACCCTGAAGAGGGAGAAACTGGTAATTTGTTTTGGATGTTTGTTTGAATTCCATCCAAACAGTTCAGTTTAGAATATCCCTTAACTTTCAGCTCATGAAGCACATACATAAAACAATAAAATCCAACTATGTAGCACGACCAGGAAGAGTATGTTTTTTAAATCACAATCCCCTGTTGCTACAGATCCCCCTGATCAGGTAGCGCTTAGATTTGTATAGATCTGAAGTTTAAGTTTGGCTGTAACAGAAATGAGGGTGCTGCCTGATGGCCTACAATGAGGACAAGGTAGTGTAACAACCTGAGACTTATTTTTTGTCGTGCAAAAGTGACACTGAGAAAGCTAACACAATTCATAGCTGTTGCTGTCCTGGTAAAGGGATACTGTTTAAAAAAGCCAAGGGAAATTGAAATGAAATGAAATGAAATGAAATGAAATGAAATGAAATGAAATGAAATGAAATGAAATGAAACAGGATGAGACACTGCTGAAGAAATTGTGCAAGAGAATAGTAAGATGGAGAATGAAGGGGTCACTGCCTGTGAAATATTGGAGATCAAGTGCTTACAACTGCAGGACTTTGCTTGGATTAGGCAGTTTGGCAGCGCTCACTTCTGCTCACAGTGAACCCTTTCGGAGGAAAGTTATTTTCAGCAAAAGTGTTGCTTTGACGTTATTCGTTTTCTTTCCATGCAGTATTCCAAACAATCTGTGACGTGCAAATACATGTCATCGACACCAATGACCAGATTCCCATCTTTGAAAAATCAGATGTGAGTATTTTTAACACTGTTTTCGATGTCCCACTAACTTTTTATGAACATTTGAGCATACATTCAATGCCTATGTAATGTGGATGGGAAAGTGACTATTTACAGAACACATAACAGAGCAATTCACTAGTGAAAATAAAGGCAAGGCATTGCTGCAAAGCCTGCATATAAGGCTATCTAGACAATGAACAGTGGGACTGACTCATTTTTAAATATAACGTAATTTGCTCAGTGGAAAACTATGAGTACAGAAAGAAATTATTCAATTAAAATAGTTTATTCCTGGAGGGGAAGAGGGGAAGAAAAGACTTTAAAATTAATTAAGATAGGCAAATGGAGAAAGCTAACAACTCCTAAGTTCCCTTCCAAACACAAGATTAATGTATCCAGAAGGAACAGAAGGTGAATGGAAATCAAAGGCTCTATTTGCTTTAACCAGAAATAACAGTCCAGGGATCCATACCTGCTGCCCTTCATTCCAGAGTGGGTGTTAGGCTCTTGCCTCTTCCTCTGGCAGAGAGATCTGAAGACCTTTTGTGACTTCTGCCTGCTCGCCCAAGCCTCCCTGCAGACACTGCAGTGACTGGAGTATCTGCGTTTAGGTGTCTAAGAACCCACCACGCCTGCAGACAATGTAGGTGGTGGGCTCAGCTGTGTGGCCCATCAGGTGCAGGTGTCCTCTTGAGGAAGTTGTGTTGTTTTTTTGGGGCTTTGCTGACTGCATTTCCCAGTTCTCTGTTGATGATAACAGGAGTTTAGACACATGCAGACCAGGTGCCTACGTAATAGGCTGTGGACTTTTCACCTCAAGGTCTTAGTCCAGGAACTGGTCTCAAGATGAGGCTGCTGAGTCAGGGCACACATCAAACAGGGTAAATGTAGCTGGGCTGCTAATGTGGTAAAATCCTATGGTGCACAGAGCCATTAAGTATCTATCACACAGAGGCTAGGGTGCTCACTGGGTACAAAGAACCTGTACTGTCCCTACTGCTATGATCACTGCATGAACCTGCAGTGATTTCAATAGAGGACATAAAGGTTTGGGATTGTTGCTATGCGAGTAACTTACCCATTGACTAAGATCCCATCACCTTTGATAAACACATGTCTAAAAAGGGGAGATATGCCACCTTTGCAGAGCTCTGCGGTCTTCTGGGCAGTGAGGTGGCTCATCTGACTGCTTCAAGGATCTTCACTAATGCTTTTGTACATCTCTCCAACCTGATTACATCTGTGCTGTGAAGTGCACCAACTGCTTCCCCCCTCACACGACTGTTGTGGGTTAAAATACATCTGTGCTTGTGGGTCATAACCTTGTTGTAGCACTCAAGTTTTTATCTGCAAATGGTGCTTGGTGTGTCATGTTTCAACCATCTCTCTCTCCTCAGTATCACAATGTGACTGTTGCAGAAAGTCTCCCGGTAGGAACAGTGATATTAGAAATTCAAGCTACTGATGGAGATGAGCCTGACACAGGGAGCTCCTACATCATTTACCAAATGAAGGAAGGAGATCCAAACAACACATTCATCATAGAGACAGATCCTGAAACAAACCGAGGGTTTGTCAAGATTAACAAGGTGAGTAGGTGGGCTGGATGGGGTTATTCTTCTTTATATGTATATATATGTTATGAACAGTAACTGCTCTGGCGATGATTTGCAGAGGAGGGATTGGCTGGTGGTGGGATGAGGACACCTAAGCATGGTGCAGACTGCAAACTTGGACTCAGGCACTCTGCCTGTGCAGTCCCCAGGGACACCTATCTTCTTGTCTTTCCTGTTCCCTATCCACTCACCGCCACCAGCAGCTCCCTCCATTGGCTCTGCTGCTGGCACCTCATCTAGAAGGGAAGGATCTGTCCAGTGAAGTAGACCATAAAGAAAAAAAATGGTATTATCTGGGTGATTTTGCAGAGTGTTTCTGGAAAAGAGAAAGCTAGCTAAATGATTCCACAGGTGGTGGCCTGTCAAGGGGCAGATCCTCCTCCCTGCTAGTGCTTTGGGCTGTTGGTGGGTTTGCCAGGGCAGGTGCAAGTAGGACCAACATGTCTCAGTGTCAGGATGGAGAGGCAGTTTGTTCCAGCTGAGGCCAACATTAACTGCAACAAACCAAGGTCAGTGTCTGTTTCATTGGGTGATACAACCCATACATTGAGTGCTGTAGACAGAAATACAAGGAACGGTTTCTGCTACATCCATGAATTTCAATAGCAAACGTGCTACTGCATCCATTTCACCTGGTGCTGGCTAGGCCAAGGTCAGACAGTATAGCATCTGGTGGACCATCTTCAGGCTCAACCTCAACGTCATTTTTGCGCAAGGAAATTATTGTGAGAAACTCCATGGTGTAACAACCCTCACATGACTTTTGTCACCCAGAGGTCACCCAAGACCTTCTTGTACAGAGCTATAAATACTGTTGCTGTAAACAGGATATAGTTATTAAACTTAGCCAGGCAGGTGGCAACGTTATTAGGAAAAGCAGTTGCTGAGAAAGGCCTTCAAAAGGGCATGTGGTTTCGTTTAAATTGACTGTTCCCAGTGTCATTTTGCTCCTGACGACTCTTCCTTATTTCATCAGTCTCAGGGATGCAGTTTCTTCTTTGAGAAGAGCTGCTTCGTGGTTCCCCATGGGAGCATCTCACGGCAATGGGGCCATTACTTAAAGCATCTCTTTTTAATTTGTCCAGGCTCTTGATTTTGAAACAACTCCAGTGTACAACCTTGTGATCAACGCCACAAACCCTGAACCCCTGGTGTCAAGTGTGCAGTACAACTCAAGCTCCCTTGCCTTATTTAAAGTTTTTGTAACAAATGTGGATGAACCACCAGTTTTCCGTGAGATGGTTTACAAAGCAGAAGTATCTGAAGATATTCCTGTCAATACTCTGGTCATGACGGTGGAGGCCTATGATCCTGAGGGGGATACTGTACGGTAAAAGAGTGACCATGATTTATATATTTAATTTAGGCTTTAGAAAATTGTTCTGCAAGAGGTTCAGGGAAAACTTTCTCAATATTTTGCATGCTGGAAAAGACTTTTTTACAGAAATCTCATCTCCTAGTAGAAAGTGGTGATGTGGTGGGGTGGTGGCTGATGACCCACCTGCAACAGACTGCTGGGCAATGCTTTTCTAACCAGCTTTCTCTCTGTGCTGTAACAAGCATCAGCCAGTATGGCCCTTGAATAAGGAAGTTAAAAAAGAAGGACAATATATGTCTCCAGAAAAAAGGCAGAGCTGGTCTGAGAATAACAGGGTTTCCACTTCCTTAAGGCCTTCAACAAACGAACAAAACACATACTGCACACTCCTAGGAAGCAATAGGACAGTAGATGCTTTTCATGTTGCACAGGAAGCCACACAGGGCTTCTTCTCCACCAAAACACACAACCTGTAATGAAGCTCAAGGCTTTAACTGACAGTTATTTAATTTTCTTTTCCAACTGCCAGAGACAATGCGCCTGCTTCCACTGTGGATGCAAAGCTCTGTGCAAGACAACTCCGATGCTTGTGACTGGGATGCAAAATCTCAGACTGGTGCATATGGTGGCCCAACATTGTTGTTATATGTTTTAGTCACCTTGAGTGTCTGCCAGCTCATGGATCTATGCACAGTGCTGTGTTGCATAGTGTAAATATACCTTACATGGTAGACTCAGATAGAAGAATTATTCGTGGTTCTTACTGCATAATTCCCAGCTGGGATGCTGAACCCAAAACAAACAATCCTTGAAATTTAACTAGAATTCAGCAAAACACCAAGTAGTTAATGGAGCTTTGGAATATGACTGTTGGGCATCCCGTAGATTTTTATTCCCAGAGCTTTCTCATCTGGCTTTCTACTTTCCCCTAACTTTTGGGAACTTAGCATGTTTGGCCTTCTGTCAAGCTGATTTGAAAGTGAGCCACGTAGTCCAGAAGCTCTTCGGGATGAAGATGGAGACAGACGACAGGAATTCATACATACATAAACCACATTTCTGCTAAAAAATAGGTTAAAGGACATAAAATAAAAAGTATAAAAAGAAAATATGTACAAGCATGTCAGCATGCTGTTTTTAGTGCATGGGGTACTGAAAGAACAAAAATGTTGAATGAGAAGGTCAGGTCACGTCTACTCAAGCAAATGCTTGTGCTTTAACTGGGTCACATGTTCACAGCTAAATTTGTATAAGTAAATACCCAGAGACACTGCGGTTTTTAAAAACAATAATACAAAGGCAATTACATGATGACATTTAAAGCACTTTCTGTTCCAAGACTTCCCCAATGGTAGTTACAGGCTTGCCCAGGCTGACAGCAGATGACCACTGCAGTCTACCTTGGGGTCCTGGCCCCTTGGTGACCCAAAAAAGGATGCCTGGCTACACTGCTCCCTCTGCCTCTCAGCCTTTGACTTGTGCTCCCATCAAAACCAAGGTGTGGGAGATGTCATGGTGAGAGAGGGACATGGAGTTGAAACAGAGTACGCTTTTGTACTAAAAGCTCAGGAACACTCAAGGTTTCCCAGTTAGGAGGAAGGTGCAGTTGCAGTACACAGGCTGATGGGGTGATGGCGTTCCCATGGTTCTGCTCTCTCTCTTATTCTCAATGATTTTTTATTCCTCTGCCTGTCTCTCCTGGTTGGCTGTAGTATTGGGACTCTTCCAAGAACCCTCTCTTCAAGTACAATTGTAATCAAGCCACTTGCCTAAAATCAATAAAGAAGTATTTGTTTTGACAGCAATCTTTCCTGATTTGGAATAGTATATGCAATATCTTTTTCCTACTTCTTTCCAAAGTTACTCCTTAGAAGGTGATGTGAGGAAATGGCTGAGGATTGATTCAACCACTGGGCAGATACACACGGCTTCCATTTTGGATCGAGAACAGCAAGAAGTATACACAGTTGAAGTTGTTGCATCAGAGCTAAGTAAGTGATGAAACACAGAGGAATCCCCTGTCCTTACTGCGTTATATGGAATTATCATACTTCCCATGACTAAACCTATGAAAAGTACAGAAACATATGATATATCCTTAGAAGTATATATTTCTTTTAAAAAAACCTTTTTAAAAAGAAATCTTGATGTTGTAGACGGTGAGGATTCAAATAGAATCACAGAATCAGAGAATCATAGAATTGTCAGGGTTGGAAGGGACCTTAAAGATCATCTAGTTCCAACCCCCCTGCCATGGGCAGGGACATCCCCCACTAGATCAGGCTGCCCAGAGCCCCATCCAACCTGGCCTTAAAAACTTCCAGGGATGGGGCTGCCACCACCTCTCTGGGCAACCTGTGCCAGTGTCTCACCACCCTCATGGGGAAGAACTTCTTCCAAACGTCCAATATGAACCGATCCATCTCCAGCTTTAATCCATTCCCCCTAGTCCTGTCACTACCCGACATCCTAAAAAGCCCCTCACCAGCTTTCTGGTAGGCCCCCTTGAGATACTGGAAGGCCATAGTAAGGTCTCCTTGGGGCCTTCTTTTCTGCAGACTGAACAGCTTTCATGAAGTTAACTATCATATGCTGTTACGTTTGTTCAAGCCACATGGCATATAGAGAACGTTAAAATTTCTTCAGTGTTTTCAGCATCCACATTTTCTGCCACTTTTTTTCCTCTATAGCTGTAAAGATTTTAGTCTTTATTGTAGGTATGTTTAGGCTTCCTGAAAGCATACCTAGAGAGTAACTTGCACCCTTGTACAGAATTTCATTTTATTATGAATAAAAGTAATATATTAGTTAGTCTGAAATACATTAGGTCTCCTAGTTACATCCATTAAAATCTTTCAAACAGTCCATCTGGGGAGATTTCATTATGTGAGTTACATTTAGTAGGGCTTAAAAACTTAAGACTGTATCTGACTGAATGAAGTGTAAATCTAGATTTCCCTCATTAAACACAGAAAAACAATAATGCTGGCCACTGTTCTGGAGCATATGGGTAAAGATGAAGTTTGAGGAAAAGGAGTTTGTCCTCAGGCACCTAGATAGAGTGGGCTGTTCCTGCAGGAAAAGGCTGGAGAAATGACAGGGCTCTGAAACGTCTTCTTAGACCCCTTGTTTTGGCCCCAGGGCAGAATATTGATTTACGTTTCCTCTATACAGAAGAGAGGTGGGAAACTTATGGTGGTTCATGCCTAAAAGAGTGCTCCAAAGAGCACTGGTCATGTTGGATGTGGTGGTTTATCCACCTCCTTTCACCTCCCAGCATTCTGTGGTTAGCAGGAGTTGGGGTTAAACAAACTATACTTTTCAAAAAGTGGTAGCAGCTACCATGAGTGTGTCAGGACCTCCTGAGACCTTGCCCCTGCAGACAGAACACCACTTCCCACTGGCTGCCTGATGTTACCTCTACACAATACCTGCAAATGCAACAACCCAGCATCCAACTCCAAGATATGCATCTAACTTTGCATTCTGTTAAACTCTACAGACAACGCAGCTCAGAAATCCAGAGTAAGTTTGACACTACAGTTAAAGGATGTGAATGACAACGCTCCAGGGTTAGCCACAGATTATCCCACTTTCTTCTGCTACCCTGTCAGTGGAGGAGAGAGAGCTTTGATTCGAGCTGCTGATGCTGATAAACAGTGGTTTTATTCAACATTTTCTTTTTCTCTTGCGGATGATACATATACAAGAAATAATTGGGAAATCTCAAAAGTCAATGGTAAGTTAATAAGGCTATTCTTACAGTGATGTGGGACTCTTTAAGTTCTCTGGGAAATCTAGAAAAATATTGAATTCCTCTTCATTCCTACTATTGCAGATCCAGTATTCCATGTAGAAAAAAATCAGGTTGTTGAGAAATGACATGCATTTTGGCATGTATTTATTTTAACATCTAAGTCATAGAATCATAGAATCATAGAATGTTCGGGGTTGGAAGGGACCTCTAGAGATCATCTAGTCCAACACCCCTGCCAGAGCAAGATCCCCTAGGGCAGCCGCACAGGAACGCATCCAGGTGGGTTTTGAAAGTCTCCAGAGAAGGAGACTCCACAACCTCTGTGGGCAGCCTGTGCCAGTGCTCCATCACCCTCATAGTAAATAAATCTTTTCCTCATGTTGAGGTGGAACTTCCTATGTTCTAACTTAAACCCATTATTCCTTGTTCTATTACTGGGCACCACTGAGAAGAGATTGTCTCCTTCCCCTTGACACCCACCCTTCAGATATTTGTATAGGTTAATAAGATCCTCATTAATTATTTTTTCAAAAGATGACATGTAGTATGTTGCAAGCTAAAATTTCACTAGAGAAATTTCACAAGAGAAGCAACACATAATAAAATGTGCTGTGTGCTTAATGAATATATATCACTTCTGCTAAAGAAACAGTGCAGTTTAAAAGCTATTTCTGACATTGTATGTAAAAGGGAAGGTCTGCCTCATAAACCAACTGGCGTTCTTTGAATAGGGTCGGATAAGACTGATAAAGCCTGTCTGAACTCCTGAAAGATGTTTGGTGAAATGTCTCACTAGAGAAAATTGGCTTACCACAATGTGAAAGGGACAAGTCTTGAAAGGATAAATGGCAATTTAAAATTCAGGAATTGGAGAAAATGGTCAGCTCTTGCAGTGAATGGATCTCATAGTTGTTTTCCAAAGGAGTTCAATAAATATGGGTGTGCAATGAGGAGGGAAGGATTACCCATTATAGAAATTATTTTAGTAGGTACCAAGTGTGAAGAATTGCAGAACATCCTTGCAAGATTGAACTGGTGGAACAATCAAATAGCGGATCCAAATGAATCTCAAACTCTTAAATTCACATTTGAAATCATGGATGTTGAATTGGCCATTAAAAGTCTGGAGTGAAACCTTAAGCAGTTCCATGAAGTTGTGAGATCAAATTATTAATAATGTTCAGAAAAGCAGATCAGATACTGGTGATTTCTAGGAAAGGACCAGGGAAGAAATGAGAGAACCTGATTATGCCCCTGTATAAATCTCACAATTTGCTCAAATCTTGAACTCTCATCTCTCCGTCTTCAAAAAGGATGCAGGAAAGAGGTTCAGATAGGGCAATGAGGATAAGAAGAGTTATGGAGCAGTCTGATATAAGAAAGTGTACAGAAAAGAGCAGAGTGAGCTACTATTTTTAGCCTGGAAGAGAGTAGGGGGGAAAACAGAAATTCATAAAATCAGAAAAGCTATGGTCATGGCAGCCAGAGGTTCATTGTTTGCCCTGTCTTCCACTACACAAAGCTGGGAGCCTTAGATGAAGTTTATGGGAGTTACTTCAAGTGTAGGTAGAAGGAGGAAGTAGTTGACTGTAGAACTTTTTGCCATAGGGTGTTAAGTATGTAGAAAGTTTCTACAAAATCAAAGCAAGAACTTACATCTTACTCAAGAAGTCCCTGAGCTGAAAATGACTGAAGGCTGGGACAGCATTAAGAGAAAAAAAGAAAATATATGCTTGCCTTTTTACTGAAATCTTCACTTATTCTAGAGACAAGATACTGACAGCAATAGACCTTTGGTCTGACCCCAACACCTGTAAGTCTTAATTTTCCAAGTTTGAAAGAGTCTTATACGTGACAGTTAAGTGCACTAGAAGGATGATCTGTCTTACTAAAGAAATCTTGTGAACAACATTGGCTTCTATGAGTATGGGGGGGTTATTATTAGTTTAGGTGTGATGCTATCAGCGTAGCACTACCCAAGATTCTATTTGGCCTGCTGCATAAATTAGGAAGGAAATTCTCCAACCATTTTATGCTGAAGGCCAGAATAGGCATTTAGATGCTCTATTTTGACTTAATGTCTGCAAAGCAATGGGACCTGGAAGGACATGGAGGAAGACAGGAAGCAGCATCATGTGCAAAGTGGCCCTAGAAAAAGGCCATTTGCAGCTGGTATGAATCTTGAGTTAAATTTCTTTCTTGTGCTGACATGAATTTCCCATTTCTGACTCACAGCTACTCATGCTTCCCTCTCTCCGAAACATGCTAACTTTGAAGAAAAGGTGCATATTGTTCCAGTAATAATTAATGACAATGGAAATCCACCTTTGGAAGGAAAAGTGAATCTTGAAGGTATACTAAGCACAGAACTATTCATTTCAAGACAACAGTGGCATTTATGAATGATCAAACTGGACTACTAAACTTCTCATTAACCTCATGGCATTTCTTTTTGTAGTACACGTCTGCAAGTGTTCAAGTGAAAAATCGTGTTTAATTGAAGTAGAGCGTCAGCACTCCTGGCCAAGCGCTGGCCAGGCAGTTGGGATTCTTATTGGGGTCCTGCTCGTCATTGGTAAGTCACTTTTTCTTGCTTGATATGAAGCCAGCTTTCCAAGATAGGATGGTGTTGCTGCATTTCTGTTACTGATCCATTTGCTGGATGAAGACATGTCACAAATGTCACAGATTGAGCAAAAGAGGGAAGATCTCAAGACTGTGTATCATGATTGCTGCGAACTTCTAATTTTTTGGTCACAGAAATAGCTTTCATGGTCTGTTCTTCTTCACTAACATACAGTGGCACATCAAGCAGCTATGACAGAAGAAATTGCTGCACTTAGAGCATATTGGGATTTTATTGCTACCTACTGCCTTATTCCTGTCAGGGAAAGGACTGGAGATTGTCTTGAGCTTCCACATTACAGTGAAAATGGAAGCATCTAGGGATGTCATGCTTACAATGTCTAAACCCATAGCTTACAATTATGATTTTATTCAACTATTTCAGCTTCATAGGTTTCCATTTTTTCATATGGAGAATTACTTCGAGCTGTGGGAAACTGTCATTTACATGAACAAAGTACAGCTATATTGTTAAGTGGTAGTGAATAGTATTATGTTCTTACAGGCAGGAGCTAATGCAACTTTAACAGGTAGCTTAAAACTTTTTCCAAAACAAGACAATATTTTTTATATAGAATAGGACAGGATAGGATGGAATGGAATGGAATGGAATGGAATGGAATGGAATGGAATGGACTAGATTGTTCCAGTTGGAAGGGTCACACAATGATCATCTGGTCCAGCTGCCTGACCATTTCAGGGCTGACCAAATGTTAAAGGGTGTTATTCAGGGCATTGTCCAAATGCCTCTTAAACACTGACAGGCTTGGGGCATCCACCACCTCTCTAGGAAGACTCTTCCACTGTTTGACCACTCTCTTGGTAAAGAAATCCTTCCTAATGTTCAGCCTAAACCTTCCCTAGTGCAGCTTTGAATGATTCCCACACGTCCTGTCACAGGGCACCAGCAAGAAGAGAGCACCTTCCTCCGGAAGCTGCAGGTTGTACCTCAGATGCCTTTTCTTAAAACTAGACATACCCAAAGTCATCAACCACCCCTCACAGAACATTCCTGTCAGACCTTTCGCCAGATTTGCTGCCCTCCTCCCGATGCATTAAATTGTGGTGCCCAGATCTGCACATGGTGCTCAAGGTGAGACCGCACCAACGCTGAACACAGCGGGGCAGTCACCTCTTTGACGGGCTGGTCATGCTGGGTTTGAAGCACCCCAGGATGGGGTTTGCCCCCTTGGCTGCCAGGGCATACACGGCTGACTTCTCCCAAGCTGCTGCTGACCAGCACCCCCAGATCCCTTTCTGCAGGGCTGATCTTCCTCTCCCAGTTTATACTTGTGTCTGGCATTACATTGTCCTAGGTGCCAAATCTGGCATTTAGACTTGTTAAATTTCATCCCATTAATCATTGTCCAATAATCCAGTCTATCTAGGTCTGTCTGCAAGGCCTCTTGTCCCTCAAGAGAGTCATCAGCACCTCCCAGTTTGGTATCAGCAAGTTTGCTAATGATGCATTTGATTCCTGCATTCAGATTATTGATAAATCGGTTGAAGAGAACCGGCCTCATAGTTGCATAACTTGTCCAGAAGTATGCTGTGAGGGACAGTAATAAAACAGTTATGAAAATCTAGAAAAACAACATCTGACTTCTAGAAAAACAAAACTGACTTCTTTTCATCACGAGGTGGCCAACCTTGTCACAGAAGCATATTAAATTAGTTAAATGGGACTTTTCTTTGTGAACTCATGTTGAGAGTGTCTGATCATTGCATTGTGCTTTTCAGTAGTACCCAGTACCTTTAAAGGTCCCTTCCAACTCAAGCCATTCTATGATCTTCTCCCCACAATTTTTCCCAGAATTGAGTTAGATTAACAGGTCTGTAGTTTTCTGGATCTTTTCTCATGCCCTTTTTGTAGACTGAAGTAGAATTGGCTAGCTTCCAGTCAGTGGGGACCTCCCCAGACTCCCAAAACCCCAGGTAGATGACTGAGAGGGGTCCTGCCATACCATCCTTTAGCTCCTTCAGTGCTTTCTATATCAATGTAGGTGCAAAAGTACCAAGGATGACTATTGATGGGATCCAGACCCTAGGAAGCAAAAAGCAAAAATTCAGTGCTCACTCCTGTGGGATTTTTAAATGTTATGGTCACAAGAGTGAGACTGGGAAAATGACTCAGCAATAGAGAAGGGCAGGAGGGTGAAAGACGCATGGAGAAAAACAAAGAAAATTAATTAAATACATTACAGACCTCATATTCAAAAGATTTGCATTAAATTAAAGGATAAAAGGGAGAAAACGCAAGAACTTATGTAAGCTACCATTACTTCAATTCTAAAATAAGAGAGAAAGAGCCCCCAAGAACAAGGCAAGAAAAAGGCAAGACCAAAGCTCTCTATTGATTTCCTTTTTTAATACAGAAACCCCTAAAGCAAGAGAAAATGCTGAGGCATATGTGATGCATATGTGTTTGTCTTTTGAAGATAAAAACAAAAAAAATTATTCTAAGAATTTAAAATGGAAGAAGCCATACTCCGACCATGCAACTGACAGAGAAACCCCTCAAACTGCATCTTTATCATCTCTGTTCAAGCTTCTCACATCACTTATTTCTGCACAATGCCTTAGTCTGATGCCTCACTTAGTATAGTGCCACATTTAAGTGAAAGTTGTGTTGGATAACTGACTAAACGTGTCTTCATTATGAGAGAGCTGGGCAGCTTCAGAGAGCACAGTAAAAGCTGCTACTGCTTATGGCTTTTAGAAAACACAGTGTAAGTAGTTCATTAAGGATTTTAGAAAGAATTCCTGAAATGAATATGCAGGTTTTTTCAAGAGCAATTTTTTTTTGCTGTAAAGGCAAAATCAGATCATAGTCTCTCAGGTGGAATTAGCAAGCATCAGAGATTGGCAAGGCAAAAACCAATGAGAAGTATCTAATGACTTTATGAAACCTGTGGAGTTTACAAAAAAGATTTTGGCCCTGAAGCTCAAAAGATAGGACCATAAAAGCAGCCATTTCTTGGGGGCCTGTCTGGCAGCAGAATGAATTCCCACATGAGCTAAGGAGTCTCTCGGACCTCAGCAGCTTTCGTTCCAAGAGCAAGGATCCTCTGTAGTCTTGCTTTCTTCAAAAGACACACAGAGCGTAGACACTGGAAAACAAAACATGGTGTCCCCACACCCTCTGCCAATCTATTCTGATGGGAGAAACTCTTTAAGACAAACTGTCCCTCTCCTGGAAGGTATTTCTCCTATTGAGAGGAAGATGGTAGAATAAATATCATGTGGCAGATCCTAGGCATGTTCCTTGATTAACTGCTGAGATACCACTAATGTGAATGTAAAATAAGAACAGCTACAGAACAGATATTCAGAGCAATGAATGGGGCAAAGGGAGTAGCTGAGTACTCCTGTGTACTTTAGTAAAAGGGAAAAAGAGTTGTTGAAAATGATAGGAAGTCTAACACAGATAAAGAAGAAATAAATTTATACACACTGTAGCAAGCTTATGATTTTAAAAGATCAAACATATATATACATGTATTATACATATTTAATGGATATATAGATGTATCCATGCATATGAAGACATCTAGACACTTTAGGTTGAATATGACTATTGATGAGAAAATCTCAGTCATTCTCGGCCATAGGTGCACAAATCTCTGGGGTCCATCAGCTATTCCTAGCAGATACCAAGGAGTTCCCAAAGAACAGTTTTGTTGACAGTAGTCTCAGCTTTACTGTCACAGAACTGCCATTCAGTTGAAAGTTCAAGAAAAAACATGACAAATCACTGCTGAAAGGGAGGGGGGGTTGAAAAAAGACACTTTGCCATCTGGTCAGATCCTAGAGGAGTTTTCCTGTGAGGGAAATCTCCTGAGCCCTGAAGCATCTGATCCTACCTACCAGTGCCCCTGAGCACGCTGCTGGTCAAACACCGCCTGGCCATTCCCCAAAGCCATTTTCTTCTGTTCAAGAGATAAAGCAGTTATCTGACAGTTGCCTGTCAGATCCTTTGCTGAAATACCTTTTCAAAAAGTTTTCTCTTCCCCTTACTGATGTGCTCCCTGTTTTTCAGGTGCAATTTTAGGCGGTGTGTTTTTCCACATGAAACACAAAGAAAAAAATGAAAAGAAGAGCCATCAGAAAGATGCAAGGGATAAGTCTGAACTCAATACGCTGGCTTAATACTGTTTCATCAAGAGACAAAAAAGCCCTTTGGTTTGGGAAGGAGTGAGCTTTGTGGCTATCAAAGCCCAGAAGTGTACTATCACACTTTGTATCCTCAGTGCATACAAACACAAAAAACCGTTCTCCTATGGTTTTATCCTCATTTTTGTAGGTAATATTTTTCAGTTGTGAAACAAAAAAATGTATGTACGCTTCAGCAGCAGCCATTAATAAGAATATCAACTTCGACGGAAGTGTTAACTCATGACAACAACAAATGCTGAGCTCCTGTAAGGATCAATATGTGGGATGACCGTTCTTTGTCTGGCAGCTGAAGTAAATACAGACTTTCCAGAGGACTGCACTTTATCTAACTGCACATCTTTGGCTCTTTCCATCTCAATAATGTATTGAATAGCAGAATGGGGAATTAAGTCCTGTGTTACATTCGAAGATGCCTCATGAAGTTGCAGGAATCTCTGACTCTCCGGAAAGGAGCTCACAAGCCTACTGCAATCTGTAATGTGCCCTGGGTCATGCCTGCTTATATCATGCTGATGAATTTGTGCTAGCAATATTCACTAGCAATACAGTATTTAAGTTTTTAATTTTTGATATCCTCGGAGTATAAACAGTTTGTGAAGCACCATGGCCCTTCATTACAATTTCTAAGTTAAAAAAGTGCATGTTGAGTCATGTGGAATTGGGTAATGTGCTGTTTTGTCATACTGCTGCAAATATTGTTCTTGCCCACTACGCATTAGATAATAATAAAAATGTTCTTTAAAAGTTTTAGCGTCTCCTCACTTTATATTTAAAAGAGAGTGCCTTAGAGCAAGCCATTGCTGCTTTGGTTTTCTATCATATTTAACCCTCACTTCTGCATATCACATATTAAAAGTGGCTCTCGGATGAGAGTGATGCATGGGCAGCTGATTCAAGACGCAGTGATCACTGGAGGCACTTGTATCTTGATTTCAGTAAAATGTATTTGAGCCCAGGATGACACTCAGGGAAGGAAAGCCTTTCTTCTGACATGCCTATAGAAGGGCATTTTTGGTGACAGTTTGAGGAAGGCTTTTCTTTAAAGCTATAAATAAAAGCTGACAAATATTGTGCTAAACTGAAAAGACAATATACTTTTGAACACACTGAAGAAAAGGTCATATGGAAAAGAGTATGTTTGTTTACACAGGATTTTTTTAATAGCTTTTGCATGCAGCACAGAACTAGAAAGAAAAGAGCACTTTTTTTGGTAGCATTGCATTACAATAGGTTTTCCTAGAATGCTGCCAGCAAAAACTTTGCTTTTGGGCTTCAGTGACACACTCCAGTTGTTGTACTTCTTACCCAGCTTCCACAGCTGTTGGAACTCTGTTTTTTTGCTGTGGGGCTCAGTGCTGGAATGTATTTATTTTATGATGGGAATGCAATTCATTATATTTTGAAAGTATGACATTCAGTTACGTCAGTGTGTCCAGGGATCCAGATTAGTATATTGTTTTATAAATAAAGGAGCCAAAGTTCAGGAGTCGTTGTACTTGTGCATACCAATATGGCTTTATCTGAATATGGGGAAAATGTGCAGAGGTTCCACTTTGCTTCATCTCCCTGACCTGTCTTTCTGTTTGCTTCTTTCACTCAAACACATCTCCTACTTTCAACAATTTCTCTTCTGGAGAAGGGTCAAAAAATGTCTTGTCTTATTTACCTATATTCATGGCTGGTTTGATAGCAGGACCTTACCCTTTTCCTCAGACTACAGAGGCATTGCCACACTCTTGGGTCTCATGAGGTAATTCACTGCACCCTCTGCCCAGCTGCTGTTAGACTGGTGGACAGTAGAGCTTCTGGGACAAAAAAAAAGTCCCTTCTCCTTGGTGTCTTGACTATAGTCTTGAAGACTTTCGGTCTGCGTCAGGGAAGGTTTAGGTTGGATCTCAGGAAACACTTCCTCACAGAGATCAGGCATTGGAATGCACGGCCGAGGGAAGCAATGGATTCATCTTCCCTGGAGGTGTTTTAGGAGAGGCTGGATGTGGCACTTAGTGCCACGTTCTGGCTGGTGTGGTGGTGTTGGGTCATAGGCTGGACTTGATGATCTCAGAGGTCTTTTCCAGCCTCAACAATTCTGTGATTCTGTGACTCTGTATCAGGGATCAACCCTCCTGCAAGTATTACTCTGTCCAATGTGGTTCATATGTGATAGGAGAGGTCTAAATGAAACCTCCTTGGGGGGATCCTTCTCCACTA